TTACACTCGTCATCTCTGCGGGGCAGAAATGAATGTGGGGACAAAGCAAACACCCGAAAGCCGATGGGAGTAAGTTGTCCACGAAAGCCGATATCAATGCAGTAAGTTGTCACACCCGTCAGGCAGACACCCTGATATCAATGCATAACTAAGGTTGACGGTATATTACAATCAAAACAGGGTTTGGACGGGTCCAAATTTTCTACCCGAGTACCCCAGCCCCTGTTAACCCTACCCTGCCCTGATACCCGTTATTTTAATTCAAGTTTGTAGGAAATGGCAATACATCCTTCAGCTCGGAGGCTAATTTGTTTTCAATATCTTAACCATATATTACAATCAAAACAGGGTTTGGACGGGTCCAAATTTTCTACCCGAGTACCCCAGCCCTGTTACCCTGCCCTGATACCCGTTATTTTAATTCCTGACATCAAATTTGTAAGAAATGGCAATATATTGTTCAGCTCGGAGGCTAATTGTCTTTCAATATCTTAACCATATATTATATTCAAAACAGCTGACTGTAAATTATGTCTAAATCTTCAAAGATAATCATGAAAGAATAACATACATTGTTTAATCGATAAATCACATGATCATAACGGGTCCGGGTACTCAGACGGGTACCCGGGTCCAACTCACTACCCTCCCGTTACGGGTATCCGGGTTACCCGTCCCAGCCCTAGTTTACGGGTCACCTAAGTGGAGGTTAGCTCACTTACTGGTAACACTGGTAACATTATATATCTAGCAACATACTTTATACATAGCACCGAGGTAACTGTCAACCTAGTATGTCAATTCATGACATTTGCAACATCAGTGGTTAATGTAATCTTTATTCAAATGAGTTTCATTTTCATCTCTGATTGGGTGGAAGCGGAACAAATCAATGCGATCCGCAGTTCCTCCACAGTCTATAAACATCACTAATGGCCGCTGCTTATTTAAGCAAACAATACAAAGGTTTCCCAACCACTTGGTCAATAGAGGAGCGGCTCGGCATCCGGTCAGAAAGGAGACGAGGAAGGAGGTTGAGTAAGGTCTTAACAGAGCCATAAACAGCCACAATGATAAAGGCAAGTGTAGCTTACACCGACAAATCAATATCGGCAAACTAACACATGGCGCAAAATATAACACATACATCTGGACTTGTGTGTTATAGATCTAGTTATTCCTCACACGGGGTCCGACCATTTTGTATTCAGGGGCGGATGTTGCTTTGTCTGATTTCTTTCCCAACTCATTTTGGGTGATAGCTAGTACCAGAGGATAATTATTTATTTTTAGTCAATCATGAGGCGATTCTTGTTTCAGAATCTGTTCAAGAAATCGGCAGGACGGCACGATGGCATGGTGACATGATAGCACGGTGACACAGACGGGACGACAGCATGACGCGCGACCGCACTACGGCACTACTGAGGACAGTCAGCGCTCGGGGGAATTTGTCTAGCTAAGGCGCCGTATTACGTTACACAGAATTATGTCACTTGGTTGTAACAGGATCAGCTGATCATGGCTTGAAATCCCAGATTAACCCTAATTTTACATATTGATCTGTCTGTAAAACCCTACATGTGTTTCACATTGCGAAATACATGAGTCCCAGATTGTCTTGTCACCTAGCTCTAACACACCAGCGCACAGCTGCAGTGCTATCGGTGCTTGTACAAACTCAGCTGACTGTTTATAATAACATTCCATGTAATATGTCGCGCGTTTCTCGTAGCTCCAGCATCAGCTGGTTATCACTGTTACATATCTGACAGTACTGATCACCGGGAGCATTTAATATTCCTCACACAGTGAAGCAGCACATGAAGTGACTGACTCATATGGTGAAAGGTATATTAAAAATGGACATGCTGTGTCGAACCACAACACTATAACAGCGTTTCACACTGCTTTACAGAAGCTCGTATAGAACAAGCAAATATCAACAAGAACGCAACACAAATAGCCGCTGTACATTCGCATCATGTTATTAGAGACACGCTACAACCCGTGTGCATGTCATTAACCTAATTAGCAGAGAGATGTCTCATGTGAAGTATCTCCTGACAAAGACAAATATATTTTCGGCTTCATTACGCTCCCTGTACAAACAAAGCTACCTAACGATCGTCACACGGTGTAGGAATCCTATGGAGGGAATTAGGTGCACATTTTTATTTCTTTTTCATTGTAGCTGGAGCTTGAACATTTATGTGCCGGTACATACATGGAGAGGACTGAAGTAGGCCATAGATAGGGTCTCGGTCTAGAGTAGTATCAAGTTATACATCATCAACTTTGCTTCAGTCCAGAGATGGAGATGCGGTTTGAACGACGTTAATACAAATGGTCAGAACAACAGAATACCCATAAATTTCAATAGAAACAGATTTTATTGGAGGAAGGAGTATGGTAGCTGTGAAAATTGTATGAATGGACCACTGAAAATCAGTGATGACACCAGGTGTTCGTAAAATGGGTAAATATGTCCTGCCATACTGGTAGCACACTAAATTCTATTATTACATATTATTACATAATATCAATTTGTATCATTTGAATGTTTTGATTAAAATAAAGGGATTTTGTTGTCCTTTGACTGACTGACTGACTGAGTTTGGTTTTACGCCGCTTTAGCAATATTCCAGCAATATCACGACGGGGGACACCAGAAATGGGCTTCACTCATTGTACCCATGTGGGGATTCGAACCCGGGTCTTCGGCGTGACGAGCCAACGCTTTAACCACTAGACTACCCCACCGCCCCACCGAGCAAAAGCTCATTTTCACTGGGAATATCACATAATAAATTATGGCGACGGCTTCAGTAGCTGAGTAGGCGATGCATGTGTCCTTTGCATCATGAGGGAGTGAGCTAGTGAATGAAGACACTATTCCAGTTTTATCCGAGTCAGCTTGGTGTGGAGGGCAAACACGAAGTAATGCTGGCCTCAAACAATTTCCAATTTGATGAAAACCAGCAAAGGTATGGTGCTGACAAATTGAAAAATCATGGCCAACCTGAACCTACGACCATAGGTATCTGGTGTGCAAAAGGGGCGCATGTCTGCACAGGGAACTTAGACGGCTGGGCCACCCGTGCCTGCTGCTTCAAAAGGAAATGATAGTAAGATAGTCGGGTTTTACGCCGCCTTTAGCCAATATTCCAGCTATATCACGACAGGGGCATCAGAAATGGTACCCTACTGCCCCCATCTTTACAGTCAGTCAGTGTCGTAAATATGGCAACACAAATCACTTATCTGACGGATTAGATACCTTGGGCAAAAGAGTATGAACATTCTATGAACGGACCATGTAAAATCAGTGCCTGCAAAATGGGGTAGAATTGTCTGCCTATTCACACCGGTCACATACAATATTTGCATTAGGTTACAGGTGTTTGACAGACGTAAACAGTCTCGTCTTCCGTCACAAGTATCATAAAGGTATACAGAGCAAAGTTGCTGTCAAAAGTATATGAATTGTCCACTGAAAATCAGTGATGACACCTGGTTTTCGCGAAAAGAGTAAGCGTGTCTCGTACTTCCGGCATCACCGCCATTCATCCAATTTGCCTAAAAATAAGTATGTAAAACCCTCTACAATCTTATGTGTGCCTATACATAAATTTAAATATAAACGTAATTGTTGCAATAATTTGAAAAATTCTCCAGGGCACACTTTTCGATTACGTGTATTCCAGCACATCAAGCAAGTCTCGATAATGTGCACATTTCGTTTCGCCGTTATTAATTTTACAGTAAGTGAGTGAATATTGCATGAGGCTGCATCCGAATGTTGCATCTATTTGTGGCGGCTGTATGTTACAAGTGTCCTCGACTACCTGCATGGGACTTCAGAAATGAGAGGTCGGTGCAGTTAGCAGTGCGATAACTTTTCAAGTTTTGAAGCATTTTCCGGGACAGTTTAGGCTTTCTCCCCATATCATCCCCCTAAAATCAACTGGTCGGTTACCATAGGACTAAGGTTTAAAGAATTGAAATAATTAAAACAATTTTGTTAGATGAAACAATTGCTTTGTGAGTGAGTAAGAGAGGTGGGTTTTACGCCACACTCAGCAATATTCCAGATATAGGGCGGCGGTCTCTAAATAATCGAGTCTGGACCAGACAATCCAGTGATCAACAGCATGGGCATCGACCTGCGCAATTGCTTAGTGTTAATTATATATAAATTCCTCTGAATGTCGATCTGTATCGTTGGTTATCGTTGTCAGATAGTTCCAGAGAGTATTAAAGTAGATATTTCTAGGCATGTGTTTGAAAGCTTTCATAAAGAAACATCGCTTGATGACATGTTTCTGGAGAATAATAGTTGCAATGTTAACACAAACCGCTTAACATAGGCACCATCTTTAATGAATCAATGAATATAATAATAATAATCGATGCTATCAATAGCGTTAATAGGGGGGAATAGATATACTTGATAAATGAAGCGTTAACCGATCTCTGATGCATCCCTAAAAATGGCATGGTTACTGTCAACGGATCCAAGCGCATTTACATAACTGTGACAAAAACAATGTGTCCAAATGTTGCTTATACAGACCCTGGTTATCTTGACAGTTTCGTTAGGAACGACACTGAGTATACATGTTTGGCTTTTCAGCATTGTAAGTCCTAAAATGTGTTTTGTGAGAGCGCACCTCGGGCTGCTCTATAGTGTTGTCCTGCGTCCATGTTGTACACCCAGTGTTCTATGTAGAAGTGTACAGTGTTAGTTCTATTACGTACTGCGACATGGTACTGCTACAGCATACATCTACAATACATTCAACATAATTCTTCACGTTTCCAATACCACAAAGTCCACAGCTGACACATTACCCGCCATGATACTCTGTTTAAGCAAGACTTATAAACTCATTATAGAGTGTCTCGATACCCGGTTTGGACCACATATACGTGCATCATTGGTGATGATAATATATGTACACGTGATATAGCTACAAACGTTTAAAGAATATACGTACCTATTGTTGGCGGTACGTTTTCGGCACCGGTGCCATGGGGTAGAATTACGACCACAACCACAACGAGTACCAAGGTTGCCATTGTGAACGTCGCCATGTCGGTATTCCTGTCTACCTGTATGAAGGGCCTGGCTCTGCTCTACCTGTCCTTTCACTGTGGTATATCAACACTACCGAGATCGATACATTCATACAAGAGCCGCGTGACGCAGATCAGCACATCAACCAACTGAATTATTTACCACGGGACGGACACGAATCCTTCTGCTGCATAACAAGCAATGTGAGGAGCTGAACGCTCAGCACCAATTAGCACATTCATTATAAGCTCCTTGCACGGGTAGGAAACAAATACCTGTCAGTCAACACTGCTGTTTAATCAGATGCAAGTTGCCAGTGTTCATTGTCGTTGCGAGAGAAATCAATGATGTTCGCGTATGGAATTCTACCAATGGTGGTTTGATTATTGGAGGAAAATCATTTTTATGTTTGGTAATATGTCGGTAGTATTGATTTAACAGGCTTCAACGTTGTTGCTGTCATGTGTTGTAGTCTATACATCTATATTGTAATTAATTGTTAATCCAGTGACAGCCCTGTGTGTTATTGTAACCGTTTATTTGTCATGGAACATAATTTATTTCAACATTAACATTACATGCAACAGTACCTTTCAATATCACCATTACATGCAACCGCGTAAAAAGTTGAATCAAATTGAGTTTTCATAGAATGAAAGAAATCTAAAAAACACTTACATCTACAGATCATTATAACCGGACATGTTGGTCATATCGAACCAAAGCGAAGTATGCGAACAGTAGGGCCTAGAAACATTTCAAACATCTTGGCGACTTTCTATGTAAATCCAGTAAATATCCCGAATATTTGGTGGTTGCTACGTTGTAATAATCACATTTGTTTTAAAATTATTGACCCTCTCTATAATTCCTGACACCTTTCTCTCTATAACGTCACTGACCGTCGTCCTTATGACGTCATTGATCTGGAGCCCGCAACATAGTCACTGTCCGACCCGCTGTCAGAACACTCTGACATACATCCACCATCATCATCTTCTTTTAAGTTTTTCAAAAACTGGCTAAATACAACGTCCTTTATACCCGGACGACTCATGGCTAATATCTGATTGCTTACCACTCAGTGGCCAGTTCAATAATATGTATGGCAAAACCTAGAAAAAAGAGGGGTGACTGGGCCTCTGAGGCCCATGTTCAGTAATAACGGTGACATTTCCAACAGTGTTCAGTAACTTGTTTTGTACAGCTGATGAAATGAAAATAAAAAGTGTACAGGTAGCTGAGATGTTGTTCGAGGAATACCTAGAATTTCACAAAAAAATGTGTAACTGGGAAAGAGCTGAATGTTTTGAAAGCATCTCCTCGGCCTGTGAGACCCCAGTTAGTGGGATGAGGGTTAATGCCATTGATACTCGTCTATCATGTTTCACCGACCATTTCCTATTTCATGGTTGACCATCGTTTATATGATGCCATTATCTGTCGGCTTTATAATGTCATTAATGACCATACATAATGTCACTCACCATCGTCCGTATCATGTTATTGACCATTGTCTATTGTCTCATTTATAGTACCGCTGGGTTTTATCCTGTGTCATCGATTCTTATCCCTATCGCATCACATTGATTATCAATGTAATATGTGATTACCAAATCATGCCACTGTCATCATGTACGTGTGTTATGGGTTATTATTTTGTGTCACTGGTATTCAAGTAAATCGTTTCATTGCTTATCAACTATATCAGAACATTAGCATATATATGAAATATTTATGCCACTGGTTGTCATCTACAGTTTGTCTCAGGTTATCAACAGTTATGTCCACAAGGTATGTATTGCAACTGAATTAAATTCTGGAAATAAATAAAGGACCACTTGTACTTTCATGTGTTCCCTTATTTGTTTCTATGAGTATATCATCAGTTGCCATTTATACACCCAGCGAATTACGAAGAAGAATAGACATACAATACCTTTTTCAGATTCATTTGATATTTGCGATGATGTTTCATTAACTCACACATTGATTCAATAATCTTGGCAGAGCCTCTTGGAGATCTATATCAGGGGTCGTACTTTGTGCTCAATATGTTTAAATGTAAAACACCACTTTGAAATTCCGAAAATTAACCCTTTCGTATAAGGCATTACGTTAATCTGATGGAGTCACCACCATTTATGTCGTCTACAGATTCCTGTCAGACGAGGATATCTCTATGCTGTGCCGTCATTGTCATCATAATGTTTTCGAGATAGTGAAACAAAACATTTATTTTACAGAATGACCTGGGTGCACTAACGTTTGACACAACTCGGTATCGGGCAGAACACATTCTATCTGTATCTACGTCTATTTCTACGTCTATTTTTCCGTCTGTTTTCAAGTCTGCTTCCACGTCTATTTCCATGTCTGTTTATACGCCTGCTTCCCCGTCTGCCTCTTCGTCTGTTACCCCGCCTGCTTCCACGTCAGCTTCCACGTCTATTTCCTTGTCTACTTCTACGCCTGCTTCCAGGTCTGTTTCCACATCTGCTTCCACGTCAGTTTCAACGATTGTTTCCACGTCTATTTCTGCGTCTGTTTCCATGTCTATTTCCACGTCTGCGTCCCCGTCTGCTTTCCTGTCTGTTTCAACGCCTGCTTCCACGTCCGATTCCACGTCTATTTCCGCATCTGCTTCAAAGGCTGTTTCCACGACGCGAAGTAACGCTCAGTAACCAGCTGTAATTTGTTAACTAAAATACTTTGTCCCTATACGATGAAATAGATATCAAGTTTTTCCACGAAGGATGAAGAAAAAACATTTAAGAACATTTTTCATGCAAGTGTTCAATTTATTTCTGTTTCAGGTGCAGACATGGTGATCCGATAATGAGTAATGATGTTTATCATCATTTCAGGAACCATTCGTCCTACATCTAGTATTTAGAGTGAGTGAGTGAGTTTAGTTTTACACCGCTTTTAGCAATATTCCAGCAATGTCACGGCGGGGGACACTGGAAATGGGCCTCACACATTGTACCCATGTGGGTAATTAAACCCAGGTCTTCGGCTATTTAGAAAGATTCCATAGCTGACAGTAACATATATGGCAGTTCACTAAATACTGACACAGCTGAAGACGAGCACACACTTTCTGGAATGGTCCTCGTCTCTTCCTGAAGACAGTCTTTCACGGCCCTGTGAAAACATAGGTAATATATCTCTGTAAAGATGAGTCCTGTATGCCTATGTCCAATTAAGGATCACGGTCAAAGGAATACGCTATGATACCAAAAATATGTTAGTGGAAGATCTTCAACACCAAAGGTGAAATCCACAAACATAGCTCTGATGTTGACGAATATGGGATGATAGTCATTGGACATTTGGAGTTTGCACCCACACAAATACTTTCTACCACTTAGCCTCGTCTTAATTTGCTCCTCACTCCACATCGCTACATAATTAACCCCCAGAACGGCAGACTACTACACTATCAACCTTCCATAGCCATACACTATTTCCCCAACAGTCACACTCTACTACCCTATAAACCCCCACAGCCACCCACTACTACCCTATCAACCCCACAGACACCCACTACTACCCTATCAACCACCACAGCAACCCACTACTACCTCCTATCAACCCCAACGTCACCCACTACTACTACACCCTATCAACCCCCACTGTCACCAACTACTACCCTATCAACCCCACAGTCACCCACTACTACCCTATCAACCCCAACAGCCACCCACTACTACCCTATCAACCCCCACTGCCACCCACTACTACCCTAATTCTATCAACCCATAGTCACAATACTACTACCCTATCAACCCCAAAGCCACCACTACTACCCTATCAAACCCCACAGCCACCAACTACTACCCTATCAACCCCCACAGTCACCCACTACTACCTCCTATCAACTCCCACAGTCACCCAGAACTACCCTATCAACCCCCCACAGCCACCAACTACTACTCCTATCAACCCCCACAGCCACTCAACTACTACCCTATGAACCCCACAGTCACACACACTACTACCCTATCAATCCCCACAGCCACCAACTACTACCCTATCAACCCCTACAGCCACCCACTACTACAATTATCAACCCCTACAGTCACCAACTACTACCTCCTATCAACCCCCACAGTCACCACTTACTACTACCCTATCAACCCCTACAGCCACCAACTACTACCCTATCAACCCCCACTGTCACCCACTACTACTATCAACCCCCTATCAACCCCCACAGCCACCCACTACTACTACCTATGAACCCCACAGCCACCAACTACTACCCTATCAATCCCCACTGTCACCCACTACTACCCTATCAACCCCCACCGTCACCCACTACTACCCCTATCAAACCCACTGTCACCAACTACTGCCCTATCACCCCTACAGCCACCCACTACTACCCTATCAACCCCCACTGGCACCCACTACTACTCTATAAACCCCTACAGCCACCCACTACTACTCCTATCAACCCCCATCGTCACCCACTACTACCCTATCAAACCCACTGTCACCAACTACTGCCCTGCCACCCCCTACAGCCACCCACTACTACCCTATCAACCCCCACCGTCACCCACTACTACCCTATAAACCCCTACAGCCACCCACTACTACCCTATCAACCACAACGTCACCTACTACTACCCTATCAACCCCCACTGTCACCAACTACTACCTCTATCAACCCCCACTGTCACCCACTACTACCTCCCTATCAACCTCTAACAGCCACCAACTACTACTCCTATCAACCCCCACTTGTCACCCTACTACTACTACTCCTATCAACCCCCTATAGTCACACAGAACTACCCTATCAACCCCCAAAGTCACCACTACTACTACCCTATCAAACCCCACAGCCACCAACTACTACCCTATCAACTCCCACAGCCACCAACTACTACCCTATCAAACCCCCATAGTCACACAGAACTACCCTATCAACCCCCACAGCCACCCAACTACTACCCCTATCAACCCCCTACAGCCACTACTGACTACTACTCCTATCAAACCCCACCGTCACCCACTACTACCCTATCAACCCCACAGCCACCACACTACTACCCTATCAAACCCTATAGTCACCAGAACTACTACCCTATCAACCCCCACAGCCACCAACTACTACTCCCATCAACCCCCACACAGCCACCAACTACTACCCCTATCAAACCCCTATAGTCACAACAGAACTACTCCTATCAACCCCACAGCTACCAACTACTACCCTATCAACCCCCTACAGCCACCAACTACTACTCCTATCAACCCCCACAGCCACCCACTACTACTCCTATCAACCCCTAAAGTCACCACTACTACCCTATCAAACCCCCACAGCCACCAACTACTACTCCTATCAACCCCTACAGCCACCAACTACTACTCCTATCAAACCCTATAGTCACACACTACTACCCTATCAACCCCCTACAGCCACCAACTACTACCCTCTATCAACCCCTACAGCCACCAACTACTACCCTATCAAACCCTATAGTCACACAGAACTACTCCTATCAACCCCCACAGCCACCACTACTACCCCTATCAAACCCCACAGCACACCAGACTACTACCCTATCAACCCCCTACAGCCACCAACTACTACCCTATCAAACCCCCATAGTCACACAGAACTACCCTATCAACCCCCACAGCCACCAACTACTACCCTATCAATCCCCACAGCCACCAACTACTACCCTATCAAACCCCACAGCCACCAACTACTACCCTATCAAACCCCTACCGTCACCCACTACTACCTTATCAAACCCCACAGCCACCAACTACTACCCTATCAAACCCCACTGTCACCCACTACTACCCTATCAACCCCCACAGCCACCAACTACTACCCTATCAACCCCTACAGCCACCCACTACTACCCTATCAACCCCACAGCCACCAACTACTACCCTATCAACTCCCACAGCCACCAACTAGTACCCTATCAAACCCCATAGTCACACAGAACTACCCTATCAACCCCCACAGCCACCCACTACTACCCTATCAACCCCCACTGCCACCCACTACTACCCTATCAAACCCCTACAGCCACCAACTACTACCCTATCAACCCCCACAGCCACCCACTACTACCCTATCAACCCCCACAGCCACCCACTACTACCCTATCAAACCCCACTGCCACCCAACCACTACTACCCTACTCAAACTACCCTACAAACCATCAGCAACTACTACCCTATCAAACCCACTACAGCCACCAACTACTACCCCTATCAACCCCAACTGTCACCCACTACTACCTCTATCAACCCCTACAGCCACCCACTACTACCCTATCAAACCCCCACTGCCACCAACTACTACCCCTATCAACCCCCAACTGTCACCCACTACTACCCCTATCAAACCCCTACAGCCACCAACTACTACCTCCTATCAAACCCCCACTGCCACCAACTACTACCCGACAACCCCCAAATCAACCCCAACCGTCTGTCACCCACTACTACCCTATATCAACCCCTACAGCCACCTACTACTACCTCCTATCAAACCCTACTGCCACCAACTACTACTCCTATCAACCCCAACAGTCACCCACTACTACCCTATAAACTCCCCTACAGCAACCCCTATAGCTACCCTATCAAACCCTACTGCTACCAACTACTACCCTATCAACCCCCCAGCCACTCAACTACTACCCTATCAACCCCACAGCCACCAACTACTACTCCTATCAACCCCTACAGCCACCAACTACTACCCTATCAAACCCCACAGCCACCCACTACTACCCTATCAACCCACATCAAACTACTACTCCTAACTCTACAGCTAACCTACTCAGCCACCAACTACTACCCCTATCAACCCCCTACAGCCACCAACTACTTTCAATTATAAACCCCTACAGCTACCTCCTACTACCCTATCAAACAAACCCCTACAGCTACTACCACTACATACTTCCTATCAACCCCCTACAACTACCAACTACTCCCTATCAACCCCACTGCCACCCACTACTACCCTATCAACCCCCACAGCCACCAACTACTACCCCATCAACCCCTATAGTCACACAGTAGAACTACCCTATCAGCCCCCTAGTCAGTCACACAGAACTACTCCTATCAAACCCCTACAGCTACCTACTACTACCCCTATCAACCCCCACAGCCACCCACTACTACTCCTATCAACCCCCACTAGCCACCCACTACTACCCTATCAACCCCTACAGCCACCTACTACTACTACCCTATCAACCCCCACAGCCACCTACTACTACTCCTATCAAACCCTACAGCCACCAACTACTACTCCTATCAAACCCTCTACAGTCACCAACTACTACCCTATCAACCCCCACAGCCACCCACTACTACCCTATCAACCCCCACAGCCACCCACTACTACCTCCTATCAACCCCCACTGCTACCTACTACTACTCCCTATCAACCCCTCACAGCCACCCACTACTACCCTATCAAACCCCACAGCCATCAACTACTACCTCCTATCAAACTGACTGTCACTCTCAACCTACTACTACCCTATCAACCCCCACAGCCACCCACTACTACTCCTATCAACCCCCACAGCCACCCACTACTACCTCCTATCAACCCCCCACTGCCACCCACTACTACCTCTATCAACCCCACAGCCACCAACTACTACCCTATCAATCCCTACAGCCATCAACTACTACCCTATATCAAACCCCCACAGCCACCAACTACTACCCTATCAACCCCCACAGCCACCAACTACTACCCTATAAACCCCCACAGCCACCCACTACTACTACCCCTATCAAACCCCACAGCCATCAACAACCACCCTATCAAACCCCACTGCCACCCACTAGTACCCTATCAACCCCCTACTGCTACCAACTACTACTACTCCTATCAACCCCTATAGTCACACAGAACTACCCTATCAACCCCCATAGTCACACACTACTACCCTATCAAACCCCACAGCCACCCACTACTACTCCTATCAAACCCCACAGCCACCAACTACTACTCCTATAAACCCCACTATCAACCTACCCCTACAGCCACCCACCAACTACTACCCTATCAACCCCCACAGCCACCAACTACTACCCTATCAACCCCCACAGCCACCAACTACTACTCCTATCAAACCCCACAGCCACCAACAACCACCCTATCAACCCCTACAGCCACCAACTACTACTTCCTATCAACCCCCACTGCCACCAACTACTACTCCTGTCAAACCCTACAGCCACCCACTACTACCCTATCAAACCCCACAGCCACCCACTCACTACCCCTATCAAACCCCCACAGCCACCAACTACTACCTTATCAAACCCTACAGCCACCAACTACTACCCTATCAACCCCCACAGCCACCCACTACTACCCTAAATGACTCCTACACAGCCACCCACTTTTACCCTAAACCTCTTTCCCTTAAACCCCTACAGCCACCCACTACTACCCTAACAACTCCTACAGCCACCAACTCCTTCCCTATAAACCCCTACAGCCACCCACTACTACTCCTATCAACCCCCTACAGCCACCTGCTACTACTCCTATCAACCCCACAACCACCAACTACTACTATCCTATCAACCCCCTACAGCCACCTAACTACTACTCCTATCAACCCCTACAGCCACCTACTACTACTCCTATCAAACCGACTGTCACCAACTACTACCCTATCAACACCCATAGTCACACAGAAGTACCCTATCAAACCCCACAGCCACCCACTACTACCCTATCAACCCCCACATCCACCCACCACTACCCTATCAACCCCTATAGTCACACAGAAGTACCCTATCAAACCCTACAGCCACCAACTACTACCTCCTATCAACCCCCACAGCCACCCACTACTATCAACCCTATAGTCAACCCTCACTGCAAACCACACAGCCACCAACTACTACTCCTATCAAACCCCACAGCCACCCACTACTACTACCCTCTGTCAAACCCCACAGCCTACTAACTACCAACTACTACTCCTATGAAGCCTCCTACTGGCACCCACTACTACTCCTATCAACCCCTACAGCCACCCACTACTACCCTATCAACCCCTACAGCCACCCACTACTACCCTATGAACCCCCACTGCCACCCACTACTACCCTATCAACCCCCATAGTCACACAGAACTACCCTATCAACCCCACTGCCACCCACTACTACCCTATCAACCCCCATAGTCAGTCACAGATAGAACTACCTATCAAACCCCTACAGCCACCCACTACTACCCTCTCAACCCCTACAGCCACCCACTACTACCCTATCAACCCCTACAGCCACCCACTACTACCCTATGAACCCCCACTGCCACCCACTACTACCCTATCAACCCCCATAGTCACACAGAACTACCCTATCAACCCCCACTGCCACCCACTACTACCCTATCAACCCCCATAGTCACACAGAACTACCCTATCAAACCCCACAGCCACCCACTACTACCCTATCAACCCCACAGCCACCTACTACTACCCTATCAACCCCACATAGTCACACTACTCCTATATCAACTACCCTCACCCACACATCTACCCTATCAACCCCAACAACCTCTCACTACGACCCAATTAACCACTAACCAAAACAACCTCAAGCTATTTAAAAATCGTTATTAATCCCAGTTCAATGAACAACTGTTTTGTACCCACAATAGCTATACATTATACTATTGATTTCTCGTAGTCGCACACTTCTACGCTCTCATCCCCCACAGCCACAGGCCACTGTACCATTGACACTCATAGCCACACGCTACAATACTATTATACCCATAGCCGCACGCTACAATACTATTATACCCCATAGCCACACGCTACAATACTATTATACCCCATAGCCGCACACTACAATACTATTATACCCCATAGCCGCACACTACAATACTCCTATACCCCATAGCCGCACACTACAATACTCCTATACCCCATAGCCGCACACTACAATACTCCTATACCCCATAGCCGCACACTACAATACTATTATACCCCATAGCCACACGCTACAATACTATTATACCCCACAGCCGCACACTACAATACTATTATACCCCATAGCCGCACACTACAATACTATTATACCCCCATAGCCGCACACTACACAATACTCCTATACCCCATAGCCGCACACTACAATACTCCTATACCCCATAGCCGCACGCTACAATACTACTAATTTCGTGCTTTCAAGTTTACACAGATTCCCGAACGTTGGTTGGTTGAGAGAGCGGTCATGTGGATCTAAATTTCAAGGTTCATTACTCTTGAACCCCTCTAATCGTTCATACTTTGTGTAAACACCGTTCATACGTGTGTGAACGTTTTTCGCTTCGGTTTCAAGGACCCCCTAATAATTGGTGATACCAATTTCAAGGAACGAACCTGTTTCAAGTCACCCCAAGTTTGGCAATGTCACTACCAAAACGGATTGCTGGAACATTGTTCCTTTTTCACAGGAGTTTAATGTCTCGCAGTTTGCGGGTTCATCCGGCGGTTTTCTGCCCCGAGGTCTGTTTCAACAACTGCTCAATAAATTTCACAATAAACAATCACAAATAAATAGAATACAACAAGATCTGTTTCCTATTCGCCACGCCGCACAACTGAAGTCGGTCAGTGTATTATACCCCATAGCCACACGCTACAATACTATTATACCCCATAGCCACACACTGATATAGGATGAACCAGAATCTAAGATATCGCTAACCCCCGCATTCGAATGTCTGTATACTTTTACAGTCAGCCCTTCAACAATGGCTAGTTGTTTTCAAAGAGAAATTACTGAAAGTTTTTTAACTTATATCACGCCTCTGAGATAAAATTAATCAAATATGCAGTTTTTAAAGATCTATATGTGAGTAACTCCAATTCTGTTATACACTCTCTGACAGTATTTATTTAAGCCTAGCTTGATTGTTGTCGGAAATTTTGTCAGTAGTTTTGTCAAGATAGTTGGCTTTGACGGCCTTAGTCTAAACAATTCATAATATTTACTTCTGTATCCTTGAATTTCTATAAAAAGCTTCTTCATCCTGAGGGGTGGTGAGGTGGCCTAGTGGTTAAAGCGTTGGCCGAAGACCAGGGTTCGATTCCCCATATGAGTACAATGTTTGAAGCCCATTTCTGGTGTCCCCCGCCGTGATATTACATACATACATACGTACGTACGTACATACATACATACATACATACATACATACATACATACATACATACATACATACATACATACATACATACATACATACATACATACATACATACATACATACATACATACATACATACATACATACATACATACATACATACATACATACATACATACATACATACATACATACATACATACATACATTTGTATAGCGCCGATATCAAGCTCAGCTCAGCTGCTCAAAGGCGCTTTGTTTTTCCCTCGTTCACTGGATGTCAATCTCAACGGCACATCGTATTGTCAATCTCAACTCCCTGGGGACCATACAACTCTTGCAGCCACTAGGCGCACCGAGTTATTGTGGCATTCCCATCCTTACGAGGTACCCATTCACAGCTGGGTGGACTGGGACACATAGTCACAATATTTTGTCCAAGTTTACTGCACGTTGCTGTACCCGCAACTGGGTGTTTGCACGTATTCTTGTGGCCACATCTGGTCGTATACCAACTGATTCGTGGGTTCTTTTAAGTGCACAGGCTTGTGTACTGTACACTAGGGGTTGTGACAACACTGAAAGAGTCTGCACACAAAGTTGACCCCAAGGTTTTTACACCCGGTCACAGGTGGGCTCGATCCCGTCACCTCAAGCCCGCTGGATCACTAGCCTGGCGCTTTAGCCAGTTCGCCCAACGCTATTATTGTACAATATTGCTAAAAGCGGCGTTAAGCCATACTCACTCATTCACTCACTTCTTCACCTTGAACAGTTCTATACTAATAACTTCTACCTGTCAGTGGTTCTACACCTGTATTGATAATCGTTACCCTATGTATATTGTGAATACATTGTGAATAATATAAACCTATATCCCTTGCTGACGTCATGACGTGATATCATATACTTACTCGTATGACTCCGTCAACATCCTGTTACACTCAGCCCACTTTTGAAGGAATCGAGAGTCACTCCAGCAATCGGCATTACTTGTAATTACTGTAAATATATAACCAGTGGAGATCCGGGTTAGAATTGGTCTTCAGTAGCCCATGCTTGTCATAAGAGGTGACTAACAGGATTCCGTTGGACTTTAGAAGCAAGATGGTGGTGAAAATCATAGGAATGGATCACTGAAAGTCTGTGACGAAAGTATTTGGTACGTTTGGGTAAGTCACACACCATGTCACAACCTCTGCATTAAAAATGTAAGAGTAGCAATGTCTAGGAGTGAAAAAGACACCATTTATTGAAGTAGAACACACATTTTGTAAAGCTGTTGCTCTCTGACAAGTGTTGACAGCGACTTGTAGATGTCGTATCCATGTGTAAAACTGAACCCAGTTAGTCCACAACACTTACACTGAGCACACCCCTCCCACTTCCCAACAATACCAGGCCCCGATTTCTCGAAACAAACTTAAGTCTGAGTTTTGACTTAAGTTAGAGTTTTTACTCAAATTTGAGAAAATGCATTTCCCAGAATGAACTAAAATCGATAATAAACTCAAACATAGTACACAATTTGAGTTTGGTGGATAGATTACTTAAGATGTTTGGGCTCTTTTATTTAAAAAATGCAGTTGAGTTTAAAATTCAGCTGTTTCAAATTGTCAAACACAGTTTGAAATTTGAGTAAAAACTTAAGTTTGTTTTGATCGGGCCCTGCTAACCCTGCATGTCCAAACAAAGTCGAATGTTAACCCTGAACAAATAGGAATGCACTACCTGTGTATGTCATATTCGTGAAGGAGTCCCACAATGGTGATTTCGCGAGCCGCGTCAAACGTCAGTTTTGACCAAAGTAAGCAAAAGATCCATGGAAGGCAGAACATTATGTATTATATCAAACAAAAGCTGAAGGTAGTTTTTACAATAGTACCATTTACATTTGGGTATTTAGTCGGTATTATCAACTTTTAGTTAATGTTTCAAATTTTGAATATTTGTTCCACTCAGTTCAGATCACTCTAAATATTCCAAAATGCAAAGATTTATGGGAGATATTCACATACACACTTAAAGGCAACAATCTAATGACAGTTGACTTGCATCAAACATAAAAAATACCGTTTGAATGGAATAATATGAATACAGAGTATGCATGGTACAGTGCATAGAAATACCAGCGATTCTGTTCAATTCGATTAGGTTTTGTTTGGGAATACCTGTTGGTCAAACAAATGCTTTTTGTATGGTTGCTGGGTGTACAACGCTGTACACAACAAATGCCCAGCAATATGAAGGTAGTTTGTGATTAATCAGATCTGGATCAGACAATCCGGAGCATCGATCTGCCCAATTTGAGAACGATGACATGCATCAACAAAGTCGGTGAGCCAGATCACTTGGCATCTTTAGCCGCTCCTGGTGACCAGTATTCAAACAAATGTAATGTAAATTGTAGGTTGAATGAGGGTCACACAGGTAGAGTATAAAGTCTGGGTTTACAGCACATATGGCAGGAACAGTTTCCATTAAAATGGTGGACCTTAGTAGCTCATGGCCTACGTCTTCATTATGCAAACCCTTAACTCTTTGGACTAATCCCTCTACTGTGTCGTATGGATGAATGTACTAATTTTATATACTCATGGAAACAAATAAGGGAACGCATGAATTGATTGTCATTGATATATATTTGAACATGTAAGAGAAAAGTCCCCACAGTTGAAAATGTTTGTCTCTAGCGATCATTTTTTATATCGGGTGTGTCCCCCATATTTGTGGACTACTGCTTGGCATCGTCTTGGCATGCTCCGTATGAGTTTACGAACGGTACCAATGGGGATTCTACGCCATTCTTCCTGTAGAGCCCGGAAAAGTTCATCCAAGTTGTTAGGCTGCACAGGTCTTTCACGAACATTACGACCAAGAACATCCCATAGATGTTCAATGGGACTAAGGTCTAGACTCTTTGCCGGTCATGGCAACACTCGGATGTTTGCAGCCTCAGTCTGTCCCTACAAACATGGGCGATATGAGGGCGGGCATTGTCTTGTTGAAATTAAACATCCTTCCTGCCGTACGCGGAAATGGGATTTAAAATTTCGTCACTATAGCGTACACCTGTCATCCACCCATCAACACGAGTAAGATCTGTTCTGCTGTCAAAGGTGATCCAGCCCCATACCATCACAGAACCCCCACCAAAACGATCATGCCGTGTAATGACGCAGGCACTGAAACGTTCACCAACATTTCTCCAGACCCGGATTCGTCCGTCATTATGGTCTAATATGTACCTGCTTTCATCGCTAAACATGGTGTGTCTCCATTGGCGTAAGGTTCTTCCACCATAGTTGCGTGCCCACTGCAGTCTTAAGCGCTTGTGCTGCTCAGTCATGTTGATTCCAAACACAGGACGACGACCAGCTGATTTAAGGCGATTCCGTACAGTACGGGAACACATTCCAACGTTTGTCCTGAATTCTGCATTGATTTTGGAGGAAGATTTAAACCTGTCTCGTAAGGCAATAAGGCGTAGGGTCCAGTCATCCCGAGGGGTAGTTTTGGATATCCGTTTTCGACCACGTCTCATTTTGACATCTCCAGTCTGTCTATACAGGCTCCAGAGCTTGGACATCACGCTTACAGACTTCTGAAATGTCGTGGCAACCTGTCGTAATGAACTTCCACTCTTAACCATGCCAATTTTTCCCAGTTTTGTGCCAAAGTCAAGTAATGTCTCGCCATGTTACCGCTGATTTTAAGCTGTGTGTTTAACAGCATTAATCTAAAATGCCCATGACTTCAGGAACACGTAATGCAGGTGCAAGTAAACCAACTTGGTGAGTTTCAGCGCAATACTTTTCATGATAACGGCAAAACACCAGTGAACATAGTTCAATGAAATGCCACATTGTTCTAAGAAATATGCGTTCCCTTATTTGTTTCCATGAGTATTATAAGGAATGTTCTGACGGCTGGTCTTGCAAAATCTGACATTGAATTTAATACGATACTTTTTCGGAGAGTTCATGGGGTTGAAATACCTTTAACAGTGAAACATAATCATGATCATGACACAGTTTGAACCGTATATCACTATGATATATCGACATTCCCTTTACTTTTCGACACTTTGTCCTGAACCTATGAAGAAAGATATGTAACTACACCTGGTCTCCACATTTTTAACAAATGCTCAGTAGATCAAAGAGTCAAGTTTTTTACATTAAATTTGTCATGTGGGATATTGGCGTAAAAAGTTAAAAAATCAAACGTTCCGAAAGTGATAGTGTTAAGGATAATAGTCAATCATACTACATATTATATCATGGAACAGTACTAGAATAATCTGGGAAGAAGAAAGCACCCATAAAATCCTTCACGTGTTGTCCTACTGTTGGCACATTACCTATCTGAAAACGATGTACTGATTCTGTATGCAGACTACCTGTAATATCCCGGGGGACAGAAATACTGTATACCTTAGCGTTAGGCTTAAAATTACGAATACCGACACATTAATCTTTTGAGATTAATCGAAGTTGTTCGTGCACGATGTCCAGCTTACCATCGGAATTGTCACACAGGTAGGCCAACATCCGAACGTTACCGTCAACCGGCAGGGGAATTGAACAATACCGTGACGGTATTGTTGCATTACATCGCTGTCGAGCGGCAGCCGTCTCCGCCCTGAAGGAAATGGCATTGATATATAATGTTACAAATGTAGGGGACATTCAATTTTGGGGCAATATTATCTGGGAACTAAGTTGAACGATTGCATATGGACTTAGACAAAGGGTATTCACAATGTGCCATGAATTTCGTGCAAATACGCCTATTTCATGGAAGAACTTTTTTCATGATGTGCGTATGAACATGGTCGGGGTAGAATTAAAATGATTTACAGTAAAGTTGCCAGTGTGTTGCCGTACAGCTCATTGACAAAAACAAGACAGAAAGTTATTCAGAGATTGTTTTTAACTCAGGTAAACGTTTTGGACATACGGCGTCTGTCACGTCAGGAACGGCTCGAGCATTGTTACGAGCGAACACTTGAACCGCTAGGCTACCCCACCGCCCCCAAAAACGTTTGTGATACTTACGAGCAGTCAACTGAGAGCGACCCATGTGTTGTAATACTTGACGGGGAATGAATGATATTAAACAACGCCTCCTGGGACAAAACCTGATAGCACTGGATGAGCCACCCGTCGCACTCAACCGGTAAGCGAAATTCAGTGGAACCTGAAATGGTGATGTTAATTTCCTAAACGAAAGTTCCTGGCAAATATGCCATCATTTGGTCAAAAAACAACTGTATAACTGATGAGTGAGTGAGTGAGTTTAGTTTTACGCCGCACTCAGCAATATTCCAGCTGTATGGCTGCTGTCTGTAAATAATCGAGTCTGGACCAGACAATCCCGAGCTCAACTGCATGAGCATGGATCTGCGCAATTTGGGAACCGATGACATGTGTCAACCAAGTCAGCGAGCCTGACAACCCGATCCCGTTAGTCGCCTCTTACGACAACCATGGGTTACTGAAGATCAATATTCTAACCCGGACCTTCACGGATGTATAACTGATGACGATGGTGATGATAATCATGATCATGCTTTATCACATTGAGGCGCTCGTATACCATGCATAAATGTTTAGATGTTTTCTGAAATAAAAGAATCTTTGTAGATAATGCAGAAAAAAATGTTTCATTTTTCCACACACAGACTAAACCTGACAATGATGAATAGATCATAGTATTATAAATAAAATGGACGGAATTATGATGAAACCGCCCTCTAGTTACAGAAATGAGCGGCCCGCTGATTCCTCAACTACAGGCCATTATCAGTTCTGTTGTCAAATGACGTCATAGCAGGTGACGTCACGCTCCATAATGACGTCATAAATCTTGTTTCATGATCTTAGACACTCTCCTATCAGAGTTCCGTGCGGCAAGCCAGCATAGTACCTCTGCCACAGGCCAGAAAAATGTGACGATTCGTCATATCTTGCAATGTCCATTCAATATAATGTACAGATTTCTTAGCTCTTTTATTTTTGACGAGTCTACACATCTAACTAATCATCTTTAATAGAATGGTTTAGTTTCACTGAGAAAATATCCAAAAACGTGTAACACTATTTCGATTTGCTCAGCGATCCTTTGTTTACATAGGTTTTACGGCTCCACGTGCTGTCATCGAAGCTGATGGAGAGCAAACGATGCAGCCAGTTTGATATCTAAATGTGTACTGTCATAGACCTTACTGTCGCAGTTGTGGAAGAATATATATGTAACAATGTAACACGTTATGAAGAGAGCGCCGAAAAGCTTTCGTGAGTCCAGTCTCTTCTTATTATGAATATGCGCGTTAGTTTACAAACAAGAGAAAAGTCCGGTCACGTGATATGCAAATTAGCCTGTGGCAGTGATGTTATGTTAGTCATCGCTGTGCCGGAGTGTGGATCTTAGAGTGTTGCGAGTAAGTTGTTTGAAATTAAATTTTAATTTATGATACTGTTTTATCTTTATTTTACACAAATTCCACCCATTTTAGCTAGACTTCTGCAAATGACAATGTCCTGCAAAACAGCATTACCCCAATAGTGTAGGGATACATTCAAAGGTTTTGGGGACTCGGTTTTCAAATTGCGACCGTATATGCTGATTATACGGTCGGAAATGTATAGCACTGGCCAATAAGAACTCGTGTTACATACTAAGTTGAATCAGAATTACTACTTACATGATACCAGACACCCAATAAGGAGAATCTTCAAACTATCCATACCGTCTGTCAGATCCTGCGTGTGCACGTTTACAATCAGCGTCAATCTGATCTATATGAGCAGTTTTGCGTGAACAAAGGTTACACGTGGGCGTCATCAAAATGTCCCTTGCCCACGTCGTAAATTATAAATAATTACATATAATTTGTGGGTTTAATTTAAAGGTAGTGTCAAGCAAGGTGGAGTTAACTGCAAAGTGAAAGTTAACGCCTAAGGTCAAATGTATCATCATATTGTGAATATACGTGTATGGGAACACTCCAAATGTGTGAGACAACGAGCAGGAGAAAAGTCAGCGCAGTACATGCTTTAATACGGGTTGTTCGCTGTGTAAAACCAAAACAAATACAGAAAAGAGAAAAATAAGGAAGAGTGAGTCAGTCAGTTTAGTTTTACGCCTCTTTTAGCAATATTCCAGCAACATCACGGCGGGGGACACCAGAAATGGGCTTCACACATTGTACCCATGTGGGGAATGGAACTCGGCCGGGTCTTTAACGTGACGACCGAACACTTTAACCACTAAGCTAGCGGTGTGGTGTGGTCAGTGTGATGAGCTGGTTCCTATTTTCAGACAGAAGAGACAAGACTAGTTGAGAAATGTGTAGGCATATTTCTGAATATTCCAATGTAGACTGACCCAGAGAGTTTAAAAAGTTCTTGAACTTTGTTTTGTATGTAAGGGGACGCCTTGCCTCAAGATGACCATCTGTTGTGTGAAGATCACTATTCGCCCTGTATTCTCAGTCGAGGCCTCTTTTTGAGGGCTTAACAAGTAGTCCACTGTTGCAGGGAGGTGAATAGTATCATCAGTTTCTATATTGCTGCAAACACTGCTTTCATATTATATTGTCAATTTATCTGTACTGCCACGCCGGATGCCAGCTATAACGTCGACAAAGCAGAACGGCGACAAAAAAATTGGCGCAAACGGCGACAGAAATGTGGCGCAAACGGCGACAGATTTGGTCGGAACGGCGACAGTATATTTTAGATATGAATTTAATAAAGATACATTTGCGATAAATATCTAAATGAAAATAACGACATTCCTAATATGATTAGGATTACAAAGGCTTTTTGATATTTAAATGTCGACTTGTGATGGTGTTTTTAGAGTCGGGTATACCATTGATTTTGAAAATAGAAAACCTATGTATGTCCAGAAATACTACTCTACAGTAATTACTGTCGCCGTTACAGCCAAATTTGTAGCCGTTACCGCCAATTTCTCTGTCGCCGTTCTACTGTGTCGCCGTTTCAGCTCGTCCCCGCCACGCCGACCTCTTTCACAAATTGGGGGCGGTGGGGTAGCCTAATGGTTAAAGCGTTGGCTCGTCACGCCGAAGACCCGGGTTCGAATCCCCACATGGGCACAATGTGTGAAGCCCATTTCTGGTGTCCCCCGCCGTGATGTTGCTGGAATATTGCTAAAAGCGGCGTAAAACCAAACTCAGTCAGTCAGTTTCACAAACTGATTTTCAGTTACCTTGTTGTTTGACCGAGTAATCAACTCATTAACGTCACACTCAGCTACCTTCCAGCTTCGAGACGGCGGCCATGGCCCTAGTATGGTGATTTACCTTCAATTGTTGGCGATCTAAAGCCCGGTTTTATACTGTATTGTCCCAAAATAGTCATATAATTTTAAGCTAAATGCTCGTTTTTTATATCTCAAATTGTGATATTCTAGTTGTTTCAGTGTCCTTTGTCGACAGATTTTATATTCTAGTATTATATATTGTTAACGTGTTACCTGTCACGACATGGCTGAAATATTGCCGATGTGACTACACACTCACCCACTCACTCATGACGGCGGTCTGTATATGATCTAGCCTGGGCTAAACAATCCAGTGTTTGAGCAGTGACATCATGAACATCAATCTGTAGAAGTGGAACAGGCTGACATGCATCAAGTCGGCGAAGTTGACAACCCGATCCCAACAGTCGCCTCAACGACAAACAAATAGTATCGATGCAGTGTAATATAATATAGTTACCATGAGGGTATGAATTGATCCCTTTAGATGTATAAAGATACAAGTTTCACAGTTACCTTTGTCTTAATTGTCTTTACACCACGTATGTGGAGGGTAGTGTGCATAGAACCCAGGCCACACATTTGTTGAAGTTCGGCAACGTTGGTCACGGAGAGTCCTTGGGTGGGTGACGGGTTTATAGCTTCACTATGAGAGTTTCTGGCACTTCTGTTGTTCTGCCCCACAAATAAGCACATGTGACAAATCGGCAAGTGAGTCTGTTCAAAACTGCCTCTGTTCATCCAGTATGGGTTCTTTTTCATAAGGCGATGGGGTAGCCTAGTGGTTTAAGCGTTCGCTCGTCACGCCGAAGACCCGGGTTCGATTCCCCACATGGGCACAATGTGTGAAGCCCATTTCTGGTGTCCCCCGCCGTGGTATTGCTGGAATATTGCTAAAACCATACTCACTCACTCACTCTTTTTCATAAAACCTTTAATTTAAATAAGAAAAAAAACCCAATAAAACCGACGATGTGTTAATAACTGTTCAAGCCATAAATATGAAAACAATTAATAATAATAATAATAATAAGGCTGCTTATATAGCGCATAATTCCATACACATGTATGCTCGGAGCGCTTGTCAGAGTAGCACAGGTGAGACAACAGATTAAGTGAGACAATGTCAGTATTTTTGACTGAAAATTTGAAAATATAAGGACAAAACCCTTTCAGTAGCCGCAGGAAATCTCGTTTATACAATTCCGAAACCAGCATGAACACGTGTTTATGAATCAGGGTGGCAGATGATACAGGGCGTTCAAAAAAAAGCAAACGTATCCTGCATCCACTTAAGTCAATTGTTCCCCTGAAAAAACATTGGAACATACTGTACAAGTCAAACTAGAATCGATATTTCTGACATGTCATTATATACTGAACAGCAAAAAAACCCGCAAGTTTCGAAAAAATGAAATCTCATGAAGGTAAGCGTTCATGTTTATGGAACGTTCATGGTAAAGTGACGTAATGATCCCAGATGAGATGATGTCATGCAATTTGACGTCCATACGAAACATTCGCACAAACACACCAACAGTGCAGCAAAACCATAATTTTAGCACGTGCATCGACGGTTATGGATGAAAAGCATGCATTTCACTCTGAGGTATCCTTTATAAAGGTTTGTGTCCAAAAACAGTTTAGTATTGACGCTAGGAGGTGTACACGCCACACAAACGATGCCTAGACTAACGACTGAGCAGAGGGGAATGGCCATTGGAAAGTTACACGGAGGTAGCACTGCAACCGCTGTAGCTAGACAATTGGGCTGTCATCTTACCACCATTACACGACTTGCTCAACGTCATCAGCAAAGCGGGTTGCTGCTGATCGTCGCCGTACAGGACGGCAAAGAGTGACAACTCATGCGCAAGATCGGTTCATCCGGGTCACTCATCTAAAGTACCGAACTGAAGCAGCAACAGTAACAGCAGCCTTAGTTCTTGGGCCAAGGGGAGCAATGCCAAGCGATACGATTAGGCGTCGTCTTCGGGCTGCTGGAATCGACTACCGAAGGCCATATGTGGGGCCAATTTTGGCACGTCAACAACGCCAGCGACGTTTGCAGCCCTCACACAGCAAGGGTGTCGATGGATTATCTGGCTCAGAACAACATTAACGTCTCTTTTCCCGGATATGGCTCCCATTGAACATTCTGGGACGAAATTGGACGGAGGATTGCTGCAGGTAGACAGCCACTCACACTTGCACAATTGGATTAGAGATTGGTGTTTGAGCGGAACCAGTTGCATCAGGCATTCTGTCAGACTGTAGTGAACTCAAGCTCAAGGTGGCTATACGCGCTACTAAAGAGACTGTCACTTTTCGCGTTCAGGGGTATCTCCATTTGACGGACTGTGATCAATTTGAACTTATTGCAATTCAATGTCAACAGCAACTTTTAGCTGTTACATTGACAGTGTTTTCTATAGAATAAATGATTAGACATAATTTGGGTTGTCTTCTATTCAAAAACTTGACAAAAAGCCAGAGTTGCGTTTCTTTTGCTGTTCAGTATATTTAAATGTAATCAGCGATGAACAGTTTAGAATGATCTGGAAAAGGTTACATGCGGGTTGGTGAGGTTGCGTAAGTACATCCTGTTGACTTTTATATCTGCAGGTCCACGTCGCATGTCTGTAAGTGTTTAACAAGCCATATTATACAAACAGAATATAATAAAAAATTAGGCATAATTTGTAAGCTCAAACATGTCGGTATGTAGCTGGATGACTGCACGGTGCCAGTGTGACATTATATTTTAAAATGAGAATATGCCCACATAAGACAAATGAGTTGACGCAGTTCATTCTTTCAGTATTCATAAATTTAAGATCCTGGTTAGGATTGATCTTCAGTAACCCATGCTTGTCGTAAGAGCCGACTAACGGGATCGGGTGGTCAGGTTTGTTGATTTGGTTAACATATGTCGTCATATCCCTGTTGCGTAGATCGACGTTCGTGCTGTTGATCACTGGATTGTCTGGTCCAGACTCGATTATTTACAGACCGCTAAACTCACTCATTCATAAATTTAACTTATGAGTTGATCTTTTTCATGTAGACGAGTACGGTGGGGTAGCCTAGTGGTTAAAGTGTTCTCTCGTCACGCCGAAGACCCGGGTTCGATTCCCCACATGGGTGCAATGTGTGAAGCCCATTTCAGGTGTCCCCTGCCGTCATACTGCTTGAATATTGCTAAAAGCGGCGTAAAACTAAACTCCCTCCCTCATGTAGACGCGTGGATCAATATCAGTTAAGTGACTCTAAGTACATGTATGTTGGACTGTTAGTGGTAGATCATTATCAGTTTGGCAACGATATGGTAAGTGTGAAGATCATTATTACATATACTCAGGTATATGTGTTGACCGGTAAGTGGGTAGTTTTCACACTGAACCAGTAAGCCACACGCATGCAACACATGCAGTGGATCATTATCATGTAGATGACTGTGTTCCTTGTGAGGCTCATTATCAGTTTGGCAACGATATGGTAAGTGTGAAGATCATTATTACATATACTCAGGTAAATGTGTTGACCGGTAAGTGGGTAGTTTTCATACTGAATCAGTAAGCCACACGCATCCAACACATGCAGTGGATCATTATCATGTAGATGACTGTGTTCCTTGTGAGGCTCATTATCAGTTTGGGGACTGTTGATATGTGGATCTTCATGAGGTAATTGACTATGTTCATCTATGTGAAGATCATTATCATGTAGATGACTGTGTTCCTTGTGAGGCTCATTATCAGTTTGGAGACTGTTGATATGTGGATCTTCATGAGTTAATTGACTATGTTCATCAATGTGAAGATCATTATCATGCAGGTAATTCCGTTCTGTGTAAGGATCATTATGAGTTAGTTGACTGTGTTGGCCTGTGTAAAGATCACTATCATGATTGAGACAATTGTAATCAGCAAATATCACCTGTATTGAATGGATTTCCCCTTTCCTCTGTTCTTGTAATAACAAGCTCCTGCAAAACAATTCTCCAAACTCTCTCGACGCCATCGGCAAACATGGACCACCTTACTTGGGATCATGCTACGTATTTCTGCATAAGTCCCAGCAGGATTTACACCATCACTTTGGTCACCAATCAACAAAAACAAACGAAAAGGCAAAACAAAAACACAACAATCTGCACAAAAATCTGCACTGTCAAGTAACACGTGCCTGGCTTTGACGCTCTCTTCATAAGGGTCACACATTTTCATAGGTAAATGGAATAAAAGACAGTTTAGCTAAATAGCGTCATATGATACACGCCAATATAAAACTTGCATCAAAATCATTGATAGTTCCTATTTTAGAAAATGACCCTTTCAACACCGAGTAGCAAGAAAGAACTTCATTTCAACGTCAATCATATAAAAAAATAGCCGAACAATGAAAACACACGTGCAGAACAGTTTATTGTATAACACAAGTATCTGTTGCATGAAAGGTCCAGTTGTTCCATAACGATCTGTATCCACTGACATCTACTCAACCAGTTCCAAAATCAGCTCCCTCATGATGGCCCCGGTGATTCCAGAGCACTCGGTAAGGTTGCCCACACGTCGTTCAGCACACGCGCCATAGACCTCCCTGTAGTCAGAATATACATGTGTGGTCTGTTACTTTGTAGGTATGGTTTGTGTTAGAAATGCCAACGACCATGTTAAGAGGTGTTCAGGTGAGCAACTCTATTATTGGTGGACAGATAAGCTCTGTCAGTTAAAACACTCAGTGTGTCACTTCAGTAAACTCAGATACTGAATGCACACATTACCTATCCGTGACACTATAGAACGTCATTGCAAGAACATATCCAGCCTTCAAATAGATTCAATTTGGCGTAAAGGGCAACGTGGCTCTCAGTGTATATGAATAGATCACTGAAAATCATGATGTCCTGGTGTTCGCAAAAACGGTAAGCAAGTCCACCATTTACAAATTTGCATATTACAAGGATACGTTTTCATTGCCTGACGCCACACAGCAGATATCCTACCATGATCTTATTGTATTGATATCGCATCGTAGAAGTTAGAGTTCCCTACCTGTCATCATTATAACATGACATTGTAGCCCCAACCAGGTTTCTACTGGTCCAGCAGGATGGCTCCTTCTCGATATCTGTTTAACATATGATTAAACGAAACACATAATATCCGACGTCATTGTATAAAACAATGCTGTGTCGAGCATAGGCGTGTGTCAATTTGCGGCTGTCTAGAAGTAAAACCTTGCTTTTTCTATTCATCATTTTCCATTGTCAAACCCTGGATAACTCGAAGAATTTACTACATATTCAAAGACATATTGGAGACACATAGAACAAATTTTGACATTGTTAAACAGTGGTCGTGTTGTCAATGTGCTGATTTTTAAACATGTATTCGCTATTGAACTGACCTGCATGATTTTCAATCCATTTCACGTATTGTGATGAAGACTTGAAAGCCACTGTCCCACACTTTATGACTATGTTCAACCCTTCATCACATGGATGGTTTCCCTCTGTGGCACTTGCGTCTGTCACACATCACTGATTACAAGTGCCACACAGGGAAAGTGTGTGGAGGGCATGTGCCAGACAGGGACAGCCCACCCTTTCAGTTAATTAGGTGTGAACTCGTTAAGATTACTTTACTCAGGAGCTACTTTTGTTATAACCTTACAGGGTTGTTTTGGATTTTGCGCTTCCTGTGTATAATGTTGTTATTGCCTTCACATGACCTTCTGAATAGTGAATACCCTGTGATAGGTTGGTGATCTATTACAGTATATAGAAAGGGATTGCAAGATACAAAGCTTATAGACTTTCAATGTAGATTTCTACAAGGTATTATTTACACAAAAAAGGAATTGTTCAAAATGAAAAAAATTGACAACAGTTTGTGTTGTTTTTGCAAAGATGTAAATGAGAGTGTGTGTCATGTGTACTGGGAATGTCAGGAGACTCAAACATTTTGGATAAACCTACAAATTTGGCTTAACAATTATTATCCACATCCATTGAAATTATCAAAAACATGATTTGGTTTGGTACTCAACATGAAAATAGATTACTAAATCACATCATCATTGCTGCAAAGAGACATATTCACTTATGCTGTATTAAAAATATGCTTCCAAATCTAACTTTCTATATAAAAACTCTAAAAGAAATATTCTTTGTGGAAAAACATATATCAGCAAAAAATAATAAAATAAATAATTTCCATCATAAATGGAGCCTTCTCTCCCCAGTAGAAATCTCCAAACTGCACGTACAACTGCTTTGTTTCTACAGAAGATATTGAGCGCAGCGTTAACTTTCAGATCTACTTGGTATGGTGAATCACACAGGAACAATGAAAGGTTGGTGCATTCTTCTGCTTGATCCAGATTCTGTTGGCTGAAAGGACAAAACGGTATAACAGATATATTTTTACTAAATGTTATAATGTTAACTTTTTTCTCTTAATGTGAGATAATAAAATCTTAAATCTTGCTCTCACAACCAGCGCAAAAGGTTTGTAAGATAAAATAAGAGGACGCCACATGCTACAACTGAAAGTCACAATATCAACATCATGCGGCAGACATGAGGGCACACAGCAGTTGGACACCGGTGTGTCGAAGCTGAAGGACCTACGCAGACGCATCGAATTATCCGAGATTGTAAACCAAAAGTCACTGTGTTCTTTAATCTGATTGGTTGAAAAACATGATCGAATGGTATTCGATTCCCGGAAACTGCAAGACCATTCGCTGCGTATTAATACGTACAAACATCGCACACACCATTGTATTGTGACGTCTTCAGCAGTGGTGACGTCATTCAAATCATATTGTGACGTAAAGTCAGAATGACGTTACAAATAAGCAGTTACAAATGCTACCATGGGAGGCTGCCGAAACGGCCGGCTGATGACATTTCACTGCTGTACCCGTACTTGATGTCAATGAGTTCAGAAACAAAAACGCGTGTGGACCTTTTGGTTTACTTTTGTGTTTACAATGTCGATAAACATCATGTGTTGGCCAACTTCCGGGTGTTGTTGAGTATTTGAAGTACGGGAACATTTCAAATGAATTCCCGTGCTTCAAATATTCAATAACACCCGGAAATTGGCCAACACATGATGTTTATCACCTAAATGGACATAATAGCAAACTGATAACCACGGAACGATTACGCAGGGACCGACCAGACACTCTGTCTTCAAGCAGTTCAGGACAATTGGTACAACAATATAACGTGTGCAACATGAAGTTATATGAACACAATATGTAAAAAGCAGGACCTGTAGAGACAGGACATTAGGACAGCCAGTAGGCGTCTCAAAGAGCAACAGTTGTGTTTTATCTGAACTTAAGTTTCAGACATATCGATGACCTGATGTCCTTTACTAATGATCAAATGACAATCTCCCTTTTCCATAATCTCCACACTGACAAAGAAATAGAAATCTCTTTCATATAAAGATCTTACACAGAGATTCAGAATAACAGAAAACTGTTCACAAGAGAGAATGGAAAAAAGGGTAACTTCGGCTTTCAATGACGTGTTATACACAGAGAAACACAACAATAAAATGTACCAGCAGAGAGGAGAGCCAAAACCGCAAGACTTATCACAAACTTCATCCTGATGTCGATGTGCATCAACAGTCGTTGTACTTAATGTCACAGGATATTCCTTGTCCTCATATAGAGGGTAAATGTCCACCATTGCTTAACCAACCGTCAAGGTTACCAGTTCACCGCACGCCCCTCGTTCAGATAACTGCAAAACATTAGCGCTGTTAGGAGCTTCTACGCGCAGAGACATGGTGGGATAGCCTAGTGATTATACGTTTGCTCGTCGCGCTGAAGACCCGGGTTTGATTCCCCACATGAGTACTTTGTGTGAAAAGCATTTTTGGTGTCCCCCGCCGTGATATTGTTGGAATATTGCTAAAAGCGGCGTAAAACCATACTCATTCAGTCTACGTGCTCAATGTGGAAGCAAACTTGAAATATCATTGTTTGTCGTATAAGGCGACTGCATTTGACCAGATCACGCTGATTTGTTTGATTGATTGTCGCCGTGCACCCACGTGCATGGTGTGGATCGTGTGCCATGGTTTAGTCACCGGTTTGCCTGGTCGAAATTCCATTGTGACAGACCACCATTGATATATTGTCAAAATTATGCTGACCGTGGCGTCACTTACTCAGACGATATAGTATAAAACAGGCTAGAGATCACCACCAACTAAGGTTCAGTCATCACCCTTACTTATGAACGAAAGAAATAGATACCTATAATGACCGGAAATATGGTGTTTGTACTGGAAGCTCTAGCCACCAGTCACGTGCCATTTAAAAGGGATATTCCACTGTAAATTAACATATAGTGTACGAAGCACATCCGTATTAAATTAACTGATGAAATTACTTGCCCAAGTATTAAGGTAAGAATAGTAAATTTCCAACTGCTTCACCGTATGCAGCTTGAATGTTTTGCTTTAAACACTATTCACTCACTCACTCACTCATTCTGTCGCTGTACAATATTTCCCTTCCATCGCTCTCACGTTGTGCAGTTTTTCTGTCGACAATGAAGCTGTAATGTAATGAACGGAAACCCAAGACAGCAGCTGTCACTCGCGGGCATAACAAACTGGCCCCATTAATATGAAGGGATGTGATCAATACGAGGCAGATCATATTATGTATGTGCACTTCTACAGAGAGTGAAACAAAATACATGTATTGTCCAAGTTCAGGTAAGAACAATTACGTAGGTTGATTAATTATAGAAATGTTCTACCCCTCGAATGGTTCTTGAAACAGTGTGTGTCTTTGGATGAAAGGACTTCCAGTCTAAACAACATTGATCAGTTTCCGACGCGACAACTAATTGTCATAACTATTGTCTGTCTTCTCTATCTATGTCTCTGTCTGTCTGTCTGCCTGTCTGTCTATCTATGCTATGATGTATGGAATCCTAGAAGGGACATTGTCGCTATGTCGCATTGTCAAAAACAAGTACAGTGAGGCAAAATAAACCAAAACGCGACACGTGACATCGCGACAACGCGACATTTCTAAGATGTGTAAAAAGAAGCCTAAAAATTCACTAAAACGCGACACGCGACAATGCGACATTATATGTCGCGTGTCGCGTTATCTAGTCATATGTTATCATACATACTATGTATATATACTCAATATTTTAACAAAGCGCGACACGCGACAATGCGACAACGCGACATTTCATCAAAATGTCGCGTTGTCGCGTTTTAGTAAATTTTAGGCTGTTTTTACACATCTTACATAGGGCGACGCGCGACAACGCGACATATTTTGACCTTGAAAATTGTCGCTATGTCGCGTGTCGCCCTTTGTAGGAATGAAATATTTAATATTCAAAACGCGACACGCGACATCGCGACAATGCGACAAATGGGCGAAATGTCGCGTTGTCGCGATGTCGCGATGTCGCGTGTCGCGTGTCGCGTTTTGTTTAATTTTGCTTGTATTTGAGAGGGCGACAACGCGACAATGCGACAACGCGACAATGTCCCTTCCAGGATTCCATAATGATGTATTTGGAACATGTCCTTCAGTGATGTGGAGATAGCACTATACAAACACCTTCATTATTATTTCCGTTTACACCTCCGGCCATACCAAAAGGAATACATAAATTAGTGATGCATTAAAGAAATGATTACGCTATATCCTGCTAGATATGTTTCAAGCGATATAAACGTGCCTATTACTATACATGTAATAATGAGCCATATTTCATAATGGATCATTATCAGTGAGCAACACGCATCCATGCCGTGGATCATTACCATGTAAATTAGATGACTGTGCTGATCTGTGTCAGGCTCATTATCAGTTTGGAGACTGTTGATCTGTGGATCATCATGAGTTAATTGACTGTGTTCATCTATGTAAAGATCATTATCATGTAGGTAATTCCGTTCTGTGTAACGATCGTTATGAGTTAGTTGACTGTGTTGGTCTATGTGAAGATCAATTCTGTTGTTCTGTGTAACGATCGTTATGAGTTAGTTGACTGTGGAAGATCAATTCTGTTGTTCTGCGTGATGATCATTATGAGTTAGTTGACTGCTTTAGTCTTTGTGAAGATCATCACCATATAGGTAATTCTGTTGTTCTGGGTTGGGACCATTATGAGTTAGTTGACTGTGTTGGCCTGTGTAGAGATCATTATCAGTTATCATGATTGGCACGAGGAACCATAGATTTCATAGAGTTATCCCAACAACACTGTCGAATCTCTATGCCTGTGCTATCCATGACAACAAACACATTAGCTCCCAAATGCCATTGGGAGCTAAGTTTCCCTTCCTTGACAGCCTCCTCAATAAATCGAATAGCTCCTGGGAGTTCCACCAAGTGTTTCAAACTCAGCACAATGCCTCGCTTGGTTGGGTAGGTCATGTCACTCGGGTACACTTCTTCTCTTGGTTGGGTAGGTACTTCCTCACATGAATGTTCAGTACATCATCCCATGTCTTGGCTGTCACATAGACGTCGTCCCCCAGATGTAAATGACAACGAGGATCCTGTAGCTCTGTCTTTTTGTCTCAAGACCCAACAATGTCATGGCTTGTATCCTATCCACATTCCTCCAAAGCTTTACAGAAGAGGGAGTAAGCTTGAGGTCCTCGCCTGGGTAACATGGATAGCAGTTCTCTGACTCGATCAAATGAGGTTTGCGGTTTGTCAATAATCTCAGCTTTCATGAGGCAAGTAAGCACTCAAACTGTACCAGTTTGTCGACCACCTCTTCTACATGCTGTATACTTGTCACGAGATCGGAGTGGTTCTTCCTAAGGATATCACGCTGAACTGCTTCCATTTTCTGTCTTCAAGGTAAACAGAACCAGAACCAGTTGAGTCAAGAGCATAGAACAGTTATTCACGGAGAGGAGACGTTCTCTCTGACGACTGAAGTTGGAATGACATGGATGACTGTTTGGGGGCCTATACTACTGACCTGAGTCTAAAAATATGTTGTTGGGAAAACCCATGTACAACATGGGTCATCGTCTCACTATAGACTAGGGAGAAGTCTAAAAATAGACTGTTATCAGGGCCTATTCTAAATATAGTCATGGTCTAAATATAGACTGTTACTAGAGGCCTTTTCTAACAATAGACTCAAACAATAGGCCAGGTGTTGATGACGTCATAAAAAAAGATGGCGGATTTCCGTCTCAATACCTCTGGTAACAACAGATACGACTACAATTGGGATAGGGTTGTAACCGTATATGACCTTAACAGATGTCACTGTGCCATCTTACGATGACCATAATAGAGGTGACTGTGTCATCTTATGATGACCATAATAGAGGTGACTGTGTCATCTTACGATGACCATAA